CCTGGAGCTAAAATCTACTACTTTTTTCCCTTGTATAATAAATAACTATTGGTTAATCTAGGATGGGATATTCATTTTTCTAGATTTTTGTGATGTCCTGTTCTCGTCTTCTTCCCCAGAATGCGACTGGTCAAATCATCACTGCTGGACGAATGTGTGTTGTGCAGGTTATACAAACATGGTATGATTGATATCAAGGTTCTTAGCATGTTTTCGATAAAATAAGAAGAGAAAACACCTCACTAGGTACAACTATGATTCAAAAATTTACAAAGTTCTTACCCCAGCAGATTGTCCTCAAATATGGAATGCTGCATTACTGTGAAGATGACACCACACTACTATCATTCGTAACTCAGCACACTTGATTCTCAAACACTCCACCATTGAAAAACAAAGGTGCACCGTCTTCAGAAGAAACAACAGCGGTAATATCGAATGGCGGCTAACGACTGAGTAGTCGAATAAGCGCAAACTTACCACTTTATAGACGTCACTGCAAGTCTTTTAGACAAGCAGAGATTTTTCATGAACCAAGATAAATTGGAATTCATGTCACTTGTAGTCGCGGTTTTCTTGAATGAAGAAATATACTGTGTGTATGTTGAGCAAATTCATAACAAGAAATTTCAAGAAAAGAAGCAAGCAAGCCGATTGATTCGGGACAGGTGTATATTACTCCATTCGAATGAAATATTCGAGGGGTGAACCCCTGACCCAAATGATGTACAATACTTCCTTTGAATCGTATGCTGTACTTCCTTGATAATCGTACTTCCTCGTACTTCCTCGTACTTCCTCGTACTTCCTCGTACTTCCTCGTACTTCCTCGTACTTTCTCGTACTTCCTCGTACTTCCTAATAATTCCTCATACTTCCCGTACTTTCCTTGTACTTCTTCAGGCTGTACACCAAACTTCCCCAGCGGATTACCCCTCGGAAATATTCTTGTACGAAGCAATCAAATTTCAAGAAAATGAATTTGTTTGATTGAAGAAACCCTCTTTATCTGTGTATGCAATCTGCTCCTCTAGCTTCACAACATAATCCCAATTCCTTTTAAGTGCATAGATTTCTTCTTTTTCCCTCATGAGTTTATTTGTAGTCCCGAAAACCGACTTACTCACCCCCGTTTGCCGATTCGCTTCCGGCAGCACTCAGCAGGCAGGACCAGCTAACGCGATCATGCGACTTGCCGGTAATGTTTTCCCGTTTTTTTAGTGCCCGCTTCCCAAAAAGACGGATTTTCCTTCGTACGGCAAAGGACCACATGGGGACGAACGTTTATCATTTCTCGTGAGCGCCGTTTGTCACAAAAACCAGCGTATGTCCACTTTTGTATGGGGATATTTCATGGCGAAATGGGTATTGTTGGCGGTTTTTTATGATATGAATGTTTGTCTCCGGAATTATACACAAATTGCGTTATTCAATGTACCAGAAAAACTGGGAATATAAGATAGGACTCTTCATGAGAAAGTATACACAAATAAGTGAAATTATTGATCGATACATTATGAGCCTGGTGTGTGTCAAGAATTTCCAAAATTTTATTTCCATATTGAACGATCTTTACTTGCCTCTGAACAATGATAAAGAGACCCCAGAATCTCCATCATACACACAATAACTCTACTAGTTGGTGACCATAGATTTCTATATAAAAAAACACGTATTTTGTGACTATTCACCTCTAAATTTTGAATTATTTTGGAATCTGAATCGAAAGAATCTAAAGATATTCAAAAACGCATATGATAAAGATATCAATAGCTGCATACTACATTTTTCCTTTAAAAACGTCGTCATAGCAGAAATGCAATATCCTTAGCTTACGCATCACACGACATATAGATATTTTCAGCTACAGTACTGTAGCATACAGATAGATGAATTATTTTGGTATCTAGATCGAAAGAATCTAAGGATATTCAAAAACGCATATGATAAAGATATCAATAGCTGCATACTACATTTTTTCTTAAAAAACGTCGTCATAGCCGAAATGCAATATCCTTAGCTTACGCATCACACGACATATAGATATTTTTAGCTACAGTATCTTCCTCTGGACAAATGTCTTCATCGCAAAAAGAAAATACCAAAAATGTTTTATCGATCAGTTCAAATGGTTCTCTTTACGATGATCGTAATCAAAATGTAGATGACGCCATTCAAATAACCATAGAAGTGGTTACTGAGGGATGATGACTTGAGGAGAATGAAAATTCAATCGATTGAGACATGACACATCAACTGCCTATTATAGTCAATCTAATCAGAATCGTTTACTGCTCACCGAAAATTCCCATATGAAAGTTGCAATATATCGAAGTTCAAAAACCCAATGATAGAATTGAACCTATCACGGTCCTGGTATATTTACAATTGCGGGTGGTACAGACCATCCCACATGGCCTCCGCTTTGTTTCGTCAAACACCCTGTGTCACGACACCTTTGAACCAAATTAATGAACATTCATGATGTTGAATAATTTCTTTACGCCAGATATCATTTCGGGCATGTACTAAAGAAATGCTGCAGTGGCACTTTGGCGACACTCTACATAAATCAAAAGCACATGTAAACAAGTTTTTTCGTTCTTGTAAACATGCTACATTGTTTGACAATGCACAGAAAAAACAATATCGTTTGACAATGCACAAAAAAAACATTGAGATAGAGAATCTGTAGACTATGGAGATTAATGCGGCCAGGACAGTAATCAAATCCATCTGAAACTTTTAACATCTTCAATTGATATCCAACTTTTGAGGAGGCAATATCTGGCAGTTCTGTATATTTTAGTGAATACTATACATCCTAGTAAAAAATGCGTCACCTTTGACAACACCCTGTATACGTTATGATAGGAAAACATCCGAACTGAATAATAATGCCTTTGACACAATCAATGGTGAAATCAGTAATACTGAATTAGTACACAAAAGGCACTCTGCTAAATGAATCCTGTGAATAGTGAATATTTTCTATGTTCCATACTCGCGGAGAATTCAATACTGCACGTGCCATCAAAAAATAACATGACTTTGGCATCATCCACCAACCGTCGCTTCACGATAGAAGATACAGGCAACATTATCATTGATAGATCGATTATTATCATTATATTATACTCGATAAACTGATGGAGAATGTAGTGAAAAGGTTACCCAATACACGCCAACAATAAATGACATAAATATCGCAAATGATAATGAAGCAAATGATTTCAAAATGAGTAAAACAAAAAAGGAGGTATCAGCGACTGATCATTATCAATTATTTCAATCAATAAAACTGACAGTGAGGAAAAGATGATAGAGCTTTTGCTTCTGCTGCCAATAATGCAGTAATTGTTAGAAGATAGCATCGAAACATTTTGGTCAAAACATTTATGATGAGATAATATTAAGAGAAGGCATAATCAGTTTAGAAATGAATATGACTATTGAAATAACAACAATAACTTCAAATATGCGAATGAAACGATGGGTTGACAATGAAAATAATATCAAAATTATTCAGGATAATGCGTCAAGCAATAAGAGAAGGTTAGGGAATAATGAGAGAAATAATGCAGATACTCTTCACTCAGAGGTAGAATATTGACCAGTGGCTAGTGAAAATATATTATAGCTGCATAGAACAGCGAACAGTAGGTAGCTATGGAAACGACCAAAGTCCCAAGAATACATAAATGGTGAGTTTTGGGTGCTAAATTGGAATCATCAGTTAGAATGCAGCTACTCACTTCAGCCTTACTGAGATACGCAGGAAATTAGGAAAATTAGGAAGTCCGTGAATTGAAACGACAAAGTATGAGAGAGCTTAACCATAAAAAGAAGTGGGATAACTTGGATCAATAAACATGGTTGAATTAGAAGCCATCAGCAGAAAAAACAAGAGGAAATCGAAAGGCAAAGATGTTAGAGGAAGTGTAAAACGCGAATTTGGAAGAAACGGAGGCTGATGATGACGAGAAGAATACACCAATGGACAGAAAATGATACATCAGGAACAACAAGGATATACGAACCAACTCATTATTAAGTCATGAAAACAATCCATCCTTCTCAAATTGGTAACATTTCGCAAAAGGAAACAAAGAGAAACACCAAGTCGGTCGACGAAAAAATTGTATTCAAGAACATGATTGTGTTACTAGTTTCAGCTTCACGACCATCTTTAGACACAATACAAGTATCTAGGCGAAAATGGGAAAACCACAATAAGATATATATCATACTGCTAAAGAAAACATACCTATGTCTAATGTGATGTGAGGAATTAATTGCTCGTTCAGTACAAAAAAAAACAATCGAACTAGTGAGATGATATATTGTCTATAACGACTGAATAACCAGAAAAGCAGAGTAGTTATTAAGCTGAACATCGACCAGGTATAATCAAAATCGGGAAGAATATTTGGAAAAATTCACTCACAAGAGTTTCATCTGGAAGCGGCCATTAGTCAGAAGCGGAAACACCAGACGAAAGCCAAAAAACCTGAGGAACAGTTACTGTTCCCCTCAGAAGTCTTTAAGAGACTTCTGCAAGCAAGGAATAACGTTTGCGGTCGTGGTGGGAATCGAACCCACCTATACCGGCAAAACAACGTGGAAAGAATATTGACGCTTCAACCACGAGGCCATACGCTGGCCACTGATTTTTTTGTTTTTGACTAATGGCCGCATTCCGATGAAACTCTTGTGAATTTTTCCAATTATTTTTCTCCATTTTGATTATACCTGATCAATGTTCAACCCAATAAACTGTTTTTCTGGTTATTCAGTCGTTATACAAAATATCACCTCACTAGTTCGATTGCTTTCCTGGACTGAACCACCAATCAATTCTCACATGATTTTCCAATTTTTTTATAGGTGAAGATGGCCGTAGAGCCGAAACTAGTAACACATATTTTTCAACACAATTTTGTTGTCGACCGACTTGGTGTTTCTTATGGAGTTCCTTTCAATTCATCATTATTACTAACCTCGAAAGTATCTTGGAGACGCATCCGTGGGACACCCTGAGCTGTCTGGAGATGTCACAGGGCCGGACTCCGTTGTGCGCCAATTCCACTATCCTCTGCCGGACCACGTCCGGCAGAGGCCTACCGTTCACGAAGACTCCACCCAATTGGTTGACGCCTCCGTGGCCTGCAACAAACATAAACAATTGAAATATTGCCGTAAATCAAAATTGCACAACCGTGTGCCGTATCCACTATTCGAAATGATAACCTTTGGTATGGCGGTGTGAGTTATGCGCTGGGTTCGGCGAATATGTGTACTTGTGTAGCCGAAGGTGATTGTTTCTGATTTTTTCGGAGGCTACCAGTAATGAGCATATCAATCAGTTGTGACACGGTAATGAATGTAACTGTGAATAACAATAACTATTGTATAACAGATTCGTACCTAGGCCATGAACATGTTGGAGTGGTTACAAGATCTATAAGGGCGTTGATGAAAGGGACATTGAGATGAGCTATACAAAATTATCCCAGGTGCATCCATATGTTAAAGCTTCGATACTAGTATTGGTATGGTATGGTCAGTGGAATGGTATATAGGTTTTAGTTCTCATATTTCTGATTGAAAAAATCTTCAACATCATCTGATAGGCCAGATTTCAAAACAGCACAAAATGTGAGGTTAGGTCACGTATTTTTTCTCTATCCGATTGTGATAATAACAAGGTTCAATGTAGCCGCTACTTCAGTCCACCTTTTATCAAACACAGATTCTTATTGTGGTTATTTTTCTCCTAACAAATAATTGGATAATCTCTTGTATGCGACGAATACACTCAAATGTGAATTCGGAATAATGAAATGGTCTTTCATTTATCAATTACAATTTACATCAAGGTTGATCGTATTTGATATAATATCGATGAAGGGCGAAGTTCAGCCTACGCTGTTTTTCAACTTAAAGGATAATTCATTGAATTTTTTCAGAAACCTCCCCCTACACTATTTTTTCCTTGGATTCTTGATACATCATGAGATAATTGATTTGGAAGTATTGAAAGACGACATTTCTAGCATATTTTCTATAGATTTATATCTCACTTTGACATCAGCTTCATTTTAATTACTCAGGTACTCGAAATATATTTTGGTTTATTATTGCAGTTCAAAAAGATTTGAATAAATTTCAAAAAGTTCTACCTTCATTCAAATAATTATCTGCCCTCATTATTCATGTATGAATTGATGCTTTATAAAAAAAACCATCAAAAAATTATCGTGTTACTCTAATATGGTGAATGATTCAATAAATACGAAGATTGAATTAGATGATAGACATTTACCAATACCATAATAATCGTTTTGGCGCCATGCCGATATAATAAACTAAATTCCATGTATCAGATGCATATTTGTGGCTGAAAATATAACGGCAACCAACATGGCATTTAGTATACTTAGTGGGCAGCATTTATAATGCAACAATCAACCAGGAATAGAAATAAAATGTTCGTTACAAAAGAAATAATAACACTCTCTACCGCAACACGTTTTGTGGATAGCAGAAATACAGGTCACAGTAACGGAAGCTGATGCTGAATGAAATTGCGGCTGATGATATCTCTAGGATTTTTGTATTATTTTATATGCGCACTGCCTACATGTTTGGTTTTATAGTTATACCGGGTGTTCCACTTTCGTAAACATGCTTCATTGCCATCGATAATAAATAATTAGTTGGTATAATTAATCGATACTGTATAAATATTGTGTTCAAGGAGGACCATCTCTTACCATTTGCAAAATCCCAATAGTATATCAGTATATACCTCAGTGGTGAACTGTACTAAGTCCAATTTTGTCAAAAATGGGATATTTGTACCGAGTGACTCAAAATTTTCTTGTTCATTATTGTTGAAATAATCGTGTACATGAGATGACTGATAGCGATTATAGACAGTTTTGAAAAGTATCAAGTCCAATGTATGATCCAAGGTAAACAATACTTCGTGGACTGAGGTACTGATATGGTCCAAATCATAATCTTTGTACCAAGAAGTATACACAGAGATACATCAATTCGGGTTCTTCGAATAATTCAGATCATAACTTCATAGTTGAAATCTGGAATTTCAGTGAGTATACATGCAGTTTTTTTCACTCTAGATGATAACTTCAAAGTGCGAAACTCTCATGACAAGTGAATATCTGGAAACTACTTCTCAAAACTACTGGTAAGGTTTGGCAACTTTGAATAATTTTTGGTAACGCTGACCTTCCGAAGAGAGCTTCAGCAATTATGTACTCTATACTACTGTGGTTACTACGTTGTCGCTACTTCATTCATTACCAAATAATTGGGTACATTATCGCTTATATTTTGCATAAAATATTGGTAATTTTCACCGAAATTTTTCCCTATGAGTAAAACCCATTTTTTTAGTACCAAATTGAGAATGTGGCCTGTAAACGTTTGAGTGGTTCATTAAAACTCAGGTAAATGTCCAGTATATTTTTTATAGCACCCTGTACGTTTGAATTGTAGTGCATTTCAGTCAAGATGGAAAAGACAAGAATAAATAAAAAACTAATCACAGGACTAAAACTTGACTCATTGGATAACGTGCTTCATATTATAAGTATATATAAAACGCGGTTAAGTGCCAATTTGAAACCATTCCTCCTGAGAATGTTACAGTGTAGGTACTAGGTATCTAGTTTTACAGCCAACTGATAAATTATAATGTCAGCTGTTTTATTGCAATGCATCCTCACTTTTATTTTTACATACTTCTGTGAATATAATCATTTTATATGCAAATTATTGATTTCAGAGAAAAATTTTGAATGCATGATTGAAAAGGAATATTCTTAGATGAATTATGAACATAAAAAAAAATAAAAAATTGATATACATAAAGAAATACATTGAGTATCTATCTGCATTCTCTATGTGATGATGAAAATATCAATTCTTCCTCGGTTCATGCAACAGAAAACAACTACTTTCCTGGCTATATGCGATAAGAATTCGAAAACAAAATCTTCTAGATAGTTGAGAATTTGCATTCTCCTTCAGATAAACATATTAGTATGTATTTGCACATAACATCAGTCTGAATATTTAACAGAAAACAACTACTTTTCTGGCTATTTGCCACGTCGAACATTGAAATTATATCTGTTGAACATCCAAAGAGAGAGCATGAAAAATTGAAATCCTTTGAAATTGAGAATTGACAATCCCTCAAATTTGATGATATGATGTACTATGATATAACAATATAACTTACCAATAATTCTCAGTATTGAAATGGAAATTGAAATGTATAGGAGAAATAAACTTGTTTTAACTCTGATCTTGATGAGCTTGGAACTCAAGAAAAAATTATTCCTATCAGTGATATTTATTTTATTTCCTGGTTCCCACATAAAAGGATATCTTGTATGTTCAGAGAACATCGTGAGAACCAAGGAAAATGAGGTAGGAATTGGTGTTCTTCTTAAATTTTTGGAGGTTATATATATGCCTCGGGAAACACATCTCTTGGCAATGTGTTCCAGAGCCTCGTTGTTCGTTGGATGAACGAGTCTTTGGAAAGAGATGTTCTGCAGGTCTCCAAAGTGACCACGAAGGGGTGCGAAGCCTCAATATATATATGGGAATTATATCTCTCAGAAACAGGTCATATGGATTCATTCGAATCAACTCATTTCGGATTTCAAACCCCCTCAGTAACTTGCAGTCCAGTTATTTTTCAGCCATTCTTCATGACACACACAATTTTCATAAAGAAAAAAAAAGGAAGTTGCGAAAATCGTATTACAATCACTTATGTTGTGAGTAGCATGTATCAATAGCAAATTGATGTGGTTGTGAGTGGATCAACTGATTCAACTTTTTGAGTGAATTCTCAACTCAAACTAGATATTTCATCAAGTTTTCCTATCATTGAGAACGTTTACAACAAATTTGATTGAATGGGCTCATGAATTACCTACCATTTTACACAGTCAAAGAGTATGATATTTCAACTCAATCGGGCGTGAACCGAAATTGACTCTTTATTGCGTGGACTTTGAGTGAAATTCCACAAAAAAAAAATTTCTGTGTGACTTCCTATCCACTTTTGAAGCAAATGATACAACGAATCCGTATGAGTAAATTTTAGTTTATGGGAACTTTCATCGAGACTGTCAACTGGTTTTCTCTGATTATAGATGAATATACAGGGTGTTACATAATTCAATACAAATATTTTAATGACATATTCCTGGGGTCAAAATAAGACTTTTTTTTCCAATGAACATGTGTCCTAAAATCCACCCCCTCCAAGCTACAGACATCGCAAGATGCGCAAAAAAAATCTTAAATTTTGAATCGTGGCTGCAATTATGCATCAAATATTTTGAAAATTCACAGGCACTTGTATTTTTAGACGATCTATTCATTTCTTGATTCAAAAATAAGGTAACTCGAATCGAAAGGGGTGAATGAGGGTTGCATACAGATTTGATGGAGCTTGGAGGGGGTGGATTTTAGGACACATGTTTATATGAAAAAAAGTCTTATTTTGACCCCAGGAATGTGTCATTAAAATATTTGTATTGAATTATGTAACACCCTGTATATAGTTCGTCCTTATGTAAAACACAGTTCCTACATAGTCATGAAAATTGTACAACGTCTGCTTCGAATGAATATAATAGTTCACAAACACAATTAGCTAACGTTCTAGCGACAATGCCTTTTGAAGTTCTATGCCAGTTCAGTAAATAGAAGATGGATAGATCCTGTGGCGAATCTGCATGGTGTTTTAATGAAGATAAACCAGAATACGGTTTGCTAATGGCAGTCGGTCTTTCGCTTTACTAGCAAATCTGTGAAAGGGTAAAGTTGGGAAAGGGTCAAATAATTTATCATTGGAACCCAACGTTTCGCACGAATCGCAGAATCATGCAATAATTTGCGGTTACTATGGTTTGTAAATGAATTATTCAATTCACACTCGATTATATTATGGTCAAAAACTCTCTGGTTATTGAGTAATTTGAGCTTGGACAAATATTTTATATTTTGTCCTGACTATGTCATCACTTGTTTATGACTCATTTATCTTTATCATTGGCAATCATTGGTTGCTATATGTCTCAACTAAACCTGACCTAATGAATAGAACCGTA